AACAACAGCAGCAGCAGCAAAAGATCCGTCTGCAACAGCCGGGCGCTTGCTGCTCTCGCTCGTCACCTTCCGAATCGCTTCCACTATAATCCGCCAACAGGGGTGTGGCCTCCGTCGCGGTGTTAAACATGTTGGGCGACACTGTATATGTGCGTACAAGTGTTTAGACGTGTGTACAAGTGTTCTCAATCAACGGAGTGGGGTAGTGGCATGTAAGTGACTGATTTGTACTGCGTGGCACAGTCCATCTGTCGGCATGACGAGAGCTGTGAATTTGAAAGTAAGCGGCTCGTGACTGCAATTACAGATTGCATACGATACTACGCGCAGCGGCAGGTGTTGATCTGAGAATTACAATCATGCTATCGCGCTATGTTGTGATTCGACATGCTAACCAACAGAGCAACACTCACATCACACATGTAGTGTACGGCGTAACATACAAATGGACAGAACACACGGGCCAGTGAATAATGCTGAGCGACAAGACACCCATATCACTCGATTAGTCCTGGTACACATTGATACACACTACAAGACATGCCTGCTACACACTGCAATCTATCATGTACAGTATCCGATTGAATCGCACTAAACTAACGGAACCTGCGTGGATTCCACTACACGGCATTTCAAACAACCCCTCAATTGCAAGTGGGATGAACGCTTGAAAGGTTTTGCGTAGAGAACACGAGACAGCGTGCCGCTCTACTTACATCTCACAACGTCTGGCTGAGTAGCTATGACATTCACGCCCTCGATGACTTCGATATAATTCACAGTCTTCCCATCCGTGAGCGTAATCAGTGGTGCGTTGGGATTGGTCCTGTTGTGGCGCGCAGTGTAAGGTTAGAAAATCTCGCACACTTCAGAGTGGCCAAAGTGGTTAAACGATGAAGGGTATGTATGCAAAATCTAGCGCGACTCACACAATGATATCTCTCCCTATACAACAAACTCAAATCGTACTCTAGCGCTAGCCTACTCACACAATGATGTGATTCTCTTCACAACGAACTCAAATCCTACCCAAGCACCCAATGTTCGCGCGAGGTTAATTCATGGCGCAGAACACACATCAACCACAGATAAACACCATTGAACGACAGTTAGTGAAGGCTACTATATGCGCTGACAATGGTATCAAACTGGCGTTGCCTGTGAGCAGTACAAGACTTGATATGCATACTTATGAGTTACATTGATAGCTCCACAAGCAACCGACATTTCACACTTTGATTGCGTACGCGCAAAATCATGTGATATCTCTGAAGTCATGAAATGGCACAGCGCTAGAAACGAGCCCGAAGTTCCAGACGCGCACGGACTATCACATGCTTTATAAAACAGGTAGGCTTTAAGGCCAGCGATCCAAACTACTTACGCCCATGTTTCATCGTCGAGGCAAAATATGTACTGGTACACACCCGGGGAAAGGTCCAGAGTCGTTACGAAAGCACCCTGATGGGATGAGAAGAAGACATAGGTCAGATCTACGCGATAAAGATGTACTTAGTGGACTTAGAGCAGAAATGACGTCCAAAGTAATGAGGTGTCGTTGATATAGAACGTCTATACGATCTTCTAGAAATTATCTTACACACGAGGCAAAAAAAGACTTCCCAGATTGAACGGACGGAGCATGGATATATGCGTAAGTACGCGACGTTGCCTATGTCCGCGAAAATAAAATTCTACATTAACACGGCTATTTAGATGCACGTACGTGCGATATTATACACACATTGATGTCAACGTCTCTACATTTACATATATATATCATTAGATACATGTTTACTCCATGAATAAATGCAACATGCATACATTTCAATACAACAATGAATACGTACATGGATAACTATTAGTCCGCATGCTTGTACATTGCAACCGTAAGGATATCCATAGATACATACCCTCGATGAGCTTTCGTCCATATTGTGCGCATCTGCATTGTCTTCGTGGAATCCAATGCTGACCCCCTGTCCTTTCAGCACATATACAACAGCGCTCTTTGGCTGCCTAAACCCATCTTGGAACCTCAAGTCTACTTTCTGCCTGCTAATGTATTAAAATTTGAACGCAATAGGTTACGCTACTATAATTATAAGCATACAAGCTTGTAGAGACCCGTTGCACTATCCTGTCTTCAGAATATATATCTATGTATGTATGTATGTATGTATGTATGTATGAATGAATGAATAAAAGTAAGTATATATAAGTATTTAAGTGTAAGTATGTATGTATGTATGTAGGTAGTTAGGTAGGCTGGTATGTATGTTTGTATGTAGGTAGTTAGGTAGGTTGGAATGTATGTAGGTAGGTAGGTAGGTTGGTACGTATATATGTATGTTTGAATATATGTATGTACATGTCCATGTATGTATGTATGTATGTATGAGTGTATAAATGTATGTCTGTATATATATATATATATAAATCTATGTATCTATGTATCTATGTGTCTATGTATCTATGTACCTATATGTCTAATTATCTATGTATATATCCGTGCATGCATGCATGTATGTATGTTAGGTATGTATGTATGTATGTATGTATATATGTACGTATGTATGTGAGTATGTACGTATGTATATATGTGTATGCACTTATGTATGTATGTAAGATGTGTGTACATATATGCATGCAGGTATGTATATATGATGTGTGTACATATATGCATGCAGGTATGTATATATGATGTGTGTACATATATGCATGCAGGTATGTAAGTATGTATGTATGTATCAATGTATGTATGTATCAATGTATGTCAGTATGTTTGTAGGTAGGTATGTATATGTATGTACGTATGTCTATGTGTATCTATATTTAT